AGAAGACAAACAGAAGTGCTTGTTAGCAATCTAAGACATTTTATTCTCTTTTGGGAGAATTGTTGAATAATAGTTCTCACCTTTTTTTTTTCCTCATGCAACCCCACAGTGCCATTAGACAGGTATTGCCATTACTGGTGTGACACAGTGGGAGCAAAGCAATAGTTACACAGCCCTTGGTGGCATGGTGGGCATTTGTGGCCAGTGGCATCTAAGATCCACCCTTTTTACACCAATCATGCCCCATAAGAACTTAGAGCCAATTATGGCATTGCTGGTAACACATACAAAGCAATGCTGCCACTCATGTCTTGTTACGTACATATAGCTAAAATAAAGAAAAGATCAGTACAAATGCTGTAAATATCCCAACTTCTCAAATCTCCTTTAGAAAAGCATATTTCCCTCCTAGCATTTCCATCAGAATTCCCTGTACTTGCCAGGTTATATATGTTCCATTTAACATGGTTTTTAAAAATCTGCTATAAAGTTTTCCTAGTGGAAGGAAATAATCACTTTCCATGAAGTTAAACAGCCTCAATCCATTTTAAATTAAAATATCTGACAGAAAAAATAGAAAAACTTGGCTTTGTGGCCTTGTGGGTCTCTTAGCTACAGATGAAACTTGAAAAATTGGTTCCGGGCCCCTTGCTGATGAGGAAGAAAACCTTTTATTTCTGTTCTGACTGGAATGACTGGAGATAATTGGGAACACAAAAATTCTTAAGGAGAATTTTCCTAGACCTTAAGGAGTTGAACATATTAAAATGACAAAAAGAATGTCACTTCCCCTTTCTTGATATCCAGGTATTTGTAGATGTATTGGTGGGACAGCTTAAATTACAATAGTATTTCTGGCCTGCAGCATCATATGATAGAAGTTGCAGAATTCTTTGTAATTATGAATTTTTTTTAAAAAAGAGGACTTATTAAACCTGATGTGGACCTCTATGATTTTGCCCTCCTAATTACACAGACAGAGGGGTACCATGGCGACACAACCCCTAAAGTTTACAGGGAGAGCGGTTCCCCTTCCCAGTTTCATGTAGGATTTACTGGCCTCTCTTCTACTACAGATCTGCTGTTTAGTCTGCATCTGAAAATTAAACCCAGAGCTTCAGCTCTCGGCCTTAAATACTGAACATCCTTCCCGTGTTACTCCCTTACCCATGCTTGTGTGGTAAGATCCATGATGAAACTCAAGATATTTTAAGAATCCATCAAGCATAGGAGTTAAGGTTGAATATTAGATTGTCTTCTTTCTCCTTTTTAAATAACTTAGCCAAAGTGTGCCCAGAGATATGTAGCACATGCATCCTGTTGAATCAACTTGAAAGAATAGCATTATATGCAAACTGTAATTTCTGGTTTTAGTGGGGATTTTTTTTTCCAAGCTTAGCCAAAGCAATGAAAGAGTTACATTTATTAAATCCCTCCCCCTTTTCCCCCATGAACAAAAGGAAAACTAAGGCAAAACGAGTGCAGTTTTCCAATAGCTATAATAAAAATATAGTTCTCTAACTCTGCCCACTCCCTTTTCCCCCCTCTCATCAGTTTTCTGCCAAAAAAACACACATTTCACCCCAGCGTGGTGCAGCCTCAGTTGTCTTTGTAAAGTACCTGTGTGAACGGCTGGGAACTGTTCAGTGTTTAGAGGTTTTAGTGGCTGGTGCTCATAAAAATGTCACTGTGCACTTCCTTTCTGAAAAGTCCTTTTATCACAACATTCCTGAAGCCCCATTCCAACAGGTAAGCCTTCTTGACCGGAGAGCTGCTGTTTGGCTTTCCCACCCCATCAACTTGCCCCTAATGAGATGTGTGCAGCTCTTGGTCACAGTATTTCAATCCCCTTATTACTTCAAGACTGCTGTTAAGGAGCTGCATGCACTTACAGGTCCTTCTGCAGTAAGTTGCAAACATGAAAGCACTCTGAAAATATCTGGAAGTGCAAACGGTTGTCTATGATAAGTTAAAACAGTATTGAAGCCCAGGGGTCTCTACCAACTTTACTCAGCTGTGGAAAAAAAAAAAAGATTCTTTGGGAATTCCAGACTCAGCTGCTTATTCCCCATATCCTTTGTTTCTGTCTACTCTTTGCACCGCAGAAGCACCCTGTGTGAAAGTCTAAGCAGGCTGTGACACCTAGGAGACCAGAGGGTGGGTTTTCCAACCTTATCTTTGTTCCAGACAGGGAGGATTTTTCTTCTCTTAATTGCATACACATTTGTGACACCGCAGCCACACATCAAGCAAAAGGCCAGGTCACTAGAGAGGTGAGAACTGAAGTTTGCAGACGTGGGAAGTGCCAACGCCCCGCCAGCATCATCCGCTTGGCAGCCATGCCTTCCTTTGGAGGGTGGCCAGTAGAGACCATGCCAAGAAGAGAGAGCTCTCCACTAACTAGACATTTGAGAAAACCATCGTGCTGAGCACGTGAGAGCAACATTGCCACCAAAAGTTTAATGGAGTGAGACCCTCACCCTGATCTCCTAGTTACATTCCCAGTACTAACTGATAGTTACTAGCTGAAGAATTTCAAGGTCAGCAGAAAGATACATAAATAAAACAACTACCCATGTTAAGAACTGTTAAGTAAAGGAAACAATACCTACGACAGTCATTTTCGGCTGAGTTGTGTCTAAAGGGTTTGATTATCAGGAGTTTCAGGAGCTCAAATCAAGCAAAGTTTCTGGGAATGTTTTGAAAAGCTGATCACATCCCATCCACTACAAGGTCTTTGTAAGTTCATGGCCTGAAAATTCTATTTCCTTCCGGATTTTGAAGTACTTTGGTTTCCAGATAGTGGAGGAAAATCAAACAGAGATGGACTAATCACAGCTAGATGCAGGAGGTTTTCCAGCTTGACTGGGCTCTATTAATTTGTTAACTGTGAGAAGATGGAATAAAATATACCTGCCAGCTCGTACTCTGTGGTCTGTTTCTGAGTAGTAAACCAAGTCCACACCTCGTGTCATAATGAGAAGTGAGTCCTTTGGGAGCAGACAAAGAGTGTATCTGCCGAACAGCTTAGTGACTTTCTGGAATTTAAATATTAAGTGAAAAGACAAGGTCACAGGGCAGCTGCTCCTTGGCTTGCCTCTCTTTCGTCTGTCCGTGGCTTTGATCATGCTACATCCTCCTTTGTGACCAGGACTCCACAGAGAATCTCAGGGTCATGGCCTGTTGCCTCGTCAAGAGGTATAAACCTGCTGCTTAAATATGTGAAGCCTGCAGTTTGGGGGCTGGTGAGGAGAGAGGAGGTAGCTTCATATGTTCCACATTTCCCACAAAACCCAAAGCAGACTAAACAAAACCGGTGTGAAATCTCATGACTGGATGCTGCCGTGGTTATATTTTTTAAGCTGTAATCCATTCATTTGTATGTGTGTTTATTCCCAGGATTTACAGCTCTCTCAGTCTTTGGGGGAAAGAGAATGTTTGAAACCTTTTGCAGAGGGTTTGCAATTAGCAGTGGCCTGTGATTCGAGTCCAGTCTAGAGTGCGTATGAGTGTGTGCATGTGTGGGTGCACATTCAATGGGGGTGTGTGAGTGGCCGGTTCATGGGGGCTTTTTCCGTCTCGTTTGCTGCTTTTACGCAAAAGCGTCACACATGGTAGCATTTAGGAGCTCCTTCACAGCTGAAGTGTTTCAGACGCTAATGAATGGAAGTTTGGTCATCTAATGCACTCAAGCTCTAAGGCATGCTTTACTGAATGGTGTACTGTAGTGACCTGGGAAAGGAAGAGAGGTATAAATTGTGTCAGTTAGCCACCCAGACAAAATGAAGCCATGTGGAAAATCGAATCTATTAAAGTATGAAGGCTGTTATAAGCTGTTTTAAGCTGGCCATCCTTAAAGTGGCTCAGTTTGCTGCGAGAGTAAATGTTTACCTCTTCTCCCAGATCTTTTTCACATGCCATCTTAGGAGACAGTGTGCAGCATTTGATAAAAATCATCCTCTCACTAACGACGCTTTTATCAGAAATGTTTATTGTCTCCGCTTTACCACCCATGTCCTGAAAGGTACTGCACATTTGTTAAATAAGCAAAAGTAAAGAGAACTTTGCTGCTCGAGCCGGCTTGCAGAAACCCCAGCAAATTCCAGAGCCATAAGGAATCAGAAAAAGGAAAAGGGAAGGAGGAGTTAGATTTATATGAAGAGGAGGCCCTTCAAAAACATATATATTAGATTTTCTTTGCTTGGCCAGCCCACCGTTAAATGTTTGGCTGATGTGGATGGATTTAGTATTGAGATTGAACAGCTATGCCAAATTCGGTTATTGTCTCAAAATGTGCTACAATAAATGCAAAAACGAGGATATAGCCTGGAAAGGAAATTCTCAGTACCCTTATGGCTCTTTTCTTGGTGTCCACTGGTGCTCTTGCCCACCTCCACACAAGGCCTAGAGGCCACACAGATTCTGACACCCATCTGATTTGGCTCAAACTTGGGCACGTGGACTTGTCTGTTGTTTTGGTAAAACAGGGGTAGTAACAGACAGTACCTAAAAGCATCTAGTAAGCACTATAGAAATACCAGCTATCATCACCCGAATCTGGAGGATGGGTTTATTTATGTCTTAAGATCCCCATAACTTCATTTTTTTTTTTTTACTTGTTGGTGGGTTTTTAAAACTGATGACTGGCGTGCTGTCGGGGGTAAAAATTTTATCCATTTCTTTTTTACTCTAATTAGTGAGTACATTGGCTTACATTGGCCTGACAGTCTCCGGGACTGCAAACAATTGAATTTGCTGACCAGCCGCCATGATGTCAAGCCTTAAGTCAACAGGGGCTAGGGAGGGCTCTGGGAAAAAACAACACCTTGATTCCTCAATGACAGGGCAAGAAGCCCTGGAAACCAGGGCTGGCCCACCACTGGATGCGCTTTTGAACAAGCTTAATGTGCAGTGGGAACTGGTCACCTTCTGCTCTGCGGGTAGGAGCAGCGCGCAGGGGACCCCCGGGGTGGCTAACCCTGTGCCCTTGTGTGTTGCAGGAGGAGACTGAAGAGACATCCTCCCAAGAGTCGGCGGAGGAGGACTAGGTGGCGCCAGCGTTCGATTTCTACCTCAGCAGCAGTTGGATCTTTCGAAGGGAGAAGACACTGCAGTGACCACTTACTCTCTATGGCCATGGTCTTTCCACTTTCTTCGGGGCGGGGCGGGCGGGTGAGGGGCGGGGCGGGCGAGGGGCGGGGGCGGGGCGGGGCGAAATCACGTAACCTTAAAAAGGACTATATTAATCACTCTCTTTGTAATCCCTTCACAGTCCCAGGTTTAGTGAAAAACTGCTGTAAACACAGGGGACACAGTTTTAACAATGCAACTTGTAATAACTGTTTTCTTTTTTTTTTCCTTAACCTACTAATAGTTAGTTGATCAGATAAGCAAGAGTGGGTGGGTGAGAAAAAACTCTTGAGTTGGGTTTAGTCAGTCACTGCGCTGCATGCAAACAAGAAATGTGTCACTCTGGTGACACCGGGCATTTGTATAGGAAAGCGGTGTGTGGCTCTGCGCACACCTCACACCACCCCACACACCACACCACCCGCTCGCCCTGTAGTGAAGCCTGTTTAGAACACCAAAGATAAGGACTAGATACTACTCTCTCTATCTCGTATAATCTTGTAGACACTTACTTGATGATTTTTAACTTTTTTTTAATTTCTAAATGAGACGAAATGCTGATGTATCCTTTCATTCAGCTAGTAAAGCCAGAAAAGGTTATGTTCATTTTTCAAAAAGGGAAGTAAGCAAATAAATGTTGCCAACTCCTATATTTATGGATATCACACATATCAGCAGGAGTAATAAATTTACTCATAGCACTCGGGTTTTTTTTTTTTTTTTTCCAAGACACCACTTCGTTTTCAGGAAATCTACTTCCTATAGAGCCAAATGCCATTTTAAGCAATAAATAATACTTGTCAGTCTCAAAGCATTTTAAGGAACCTAGACAAGTAAAATTATCCTCTTTGTAATTTAACGAAAAGGTACAACAATAATGCATGATGAACTCACCTGAATGATTAGGTGGGAGGAGCGAAATCTAAATTTCTTTTGCTATAGTTAAACAGTTTTAAAAGCAGGAAAAAAAGCAGTCTCTCTCTCCTCTCTCTCTCTCTCTCTCTCTCTCTCTCTTTCTCTCCCCCTTCCCCCCCCCATTGTGTATCAGTTTCCATGAAAGACCTAAATACCACTTACCTCAAATTAAGCGCCTATGTGTTACTTCAAGTAATGCATTTTGACATAAGATGGTCGACCAAGGTGTTCTACTTTGGTTTCCGTTCACCATCTCTTCATTCAAACTGCACTTTTAGCCAGAGATGCAATATCCTCACTACTCAATACTACCTCTGAATGTTACATTCAATTTACAGTCTTATTACATGCTGCTATACACAAGCAATGCAAGATAAAAATCTTACTGGGTAGGTGATTCCAATCATCTGCAGTTCTTTTTGTACATTTCATTACAGTTAAAGAAGCAATCTCCTTATTCTGTTTCAGCATGGCTATGTGTTTTCCTATGATTTTTTTTAATTAAAATTTTACAAATACTTGTTTCAGCTTCTCTGCTAGATTTCTACATTAACTTGAGTATGTTTTTAACCAAGTCGCTCCTAGGTTGTTAAGGATAATTTTTCTCAATCACACTACACATCACAAAACAAATTTGACTGTAATGTTTAAATATTACCCTCCAAGTCTGTACCTCAAATGAACTGTTTAAGGAAATGGACTAATTGACTTGCAAAGAGCTACCTCCAGACTTCAAAAGGAATGAACTTGTTACTTGCAGCGTTCATTTTTTTTTTACTCCAGTGTTTGAAATAGTTCAAACTGCAGCTATCCCTAATCAAAACTATTTTTGTAAGACATTTGATAGAAAGGAACACATTATTGCATACTTTTGCAAAAATAAGTAAAATAAAGCCAACCTTCAAAGAAACTTGAAGCTTTGTAGGTAAGATGCAGCAAGCTCAGTTTTTGCCTAATGCAATCAAAAGATATGTGTTTTTAAGATTAGTTGAATATAAGAAAATGCTTGACAGATATTTTCATGTATTTTACACAAATGTGATTTTTGTAACATGTCTCAGCCAGATTTATTTTGAACGCTTCTTATGTAGAGTTTTTATGCCTTTCTCTCCTAGTGAGTGTGCTGACTTTTTAACATGGTATTATCCACTGGGCCAGGAGGTAGTTTCTCATGATGGCTTGTGTCAGTATGACTTTTTGTACTGAAGCCAAATGAAACTCAAAACCATCTCTCTTCTAGCCACTTCAGGGAGGTAATTTCAAAGGCCACATACCTCTCTGAGACTGGCAGATCGCTCACTGTTGTGAATCACCAAAGGAGCTATGGAGAGAATTAAAACTCAACATGACTGTTAACTGTGCATTAAATAATCAAATAAACAGTGGCTCATAAAAATAAAAGTCCCATTCCATATCTTTGGATGGGTTTTTTAGAAACCTCATTGGCCAGCTCATAAAACTGAAGCAATTGCTCATGTTGGCCAAACTCGGAGCACCTAGCAATTTCCATCTCTGATGAAGTTACTCTTTTATTTCCTGTATGTTGTACAATCAAAACACACTACTACCTCTTACGTCCCAGTATACCTCATTTTTCATACTGAAAAAAAAGCTTGTGGCCAATGGAACAGTAAGAACATCATAAAATTTTTATATATATAGTTTATTTTTGCGGGAGATAAATTTTATAGGACTGTTCTTTGCTGTTGTTGGTCGCAGCTAAGTAAGACTGGACATTTTACTTTTCTACCATTTCTGCAAGTTAGGTATGTTTGCAGGAGAAAAGTATCAAGACGTTTAACTGCAGTTGACTTTCTCCCTGTTCCTTCGAGTGTCTTCTAACTTTATTCTTTGTTCTTCATGTAGAATTGCTGTCTATGATTGTACTTTGAATCGCTTGCTTGTTTGAAAATAAAAAATTTCTCTAGTGGATTATCACTGTCTGTTCTGCACAATAAACATAACAGCCTCTGTGATCCCCACGTGTTTTGATTTCCTCCTCTTTGTCAATTCCATTAAATAAATAATAAAGTTTGGTCAAAACAGGTCAAAGTGGGAGATAGTTACAAGTCATTTCGTTAACACCTCTTGCTTATCATGTGGTCACACCTGTGCACATACTGACATGAAGTGTGTTTTTAAATGTCATACCCTTATATCCACTGTCTTGAGTTCCCATTGAAAGATCTGACATTGAATTCCACAGAAGAAATATAAAGGAAGGACAGGCTATAGTTTAAAACCACAGAATCTTTTCTTTGAGCTAACATCTGCAAGGTTTGTAAGGGAAGTAACTGACAAAGCAAGCTATCTTTGAAGTAACATTCGGAGAGAGGTCCAGAGGTTTGGGGAAAAGAATAAGAAACAAAAGCCACAAAACTTCTCCTAAATAAGAGTCTTATAATTCTGTGAAAACCATTATCTGAGAATCATTCTACTATCAACTTCAAGGTCATCTTTACATTTCAATTGCTAATTATGAAGAATCATAGTATTTTTTTAGCAAGCAAAAATTTCTGGTTTGAGTTACCAAAAATACTTTCTCCATTTAGCGTCTTAGAAGAGGAAGTTTGTTTCTAGGAAGAAATGTTCTTTTTTTGTCATTTTTTGACATTTTTTTTTCAAACTCATTCATTCATTCCTATAGCCAAGAATGAATTCTGCAAGTATTTATTCTGTGGTTGTCCCCAGACCGAGAGATTTTGCAAAATACTAACACAGTGGAGAAAATCATGCAGGTATAGAAATAGTAACATTACAGAAAATATGTGAAGAGAACCACGTAATTTGTTGAGGTAACAAGTTGCAAGAATTTCGAGAGGAAAAAAAAAACAAAACACTTTCTTCTGGGATGGATAATTTACCTTCATCATTAGTTCAGCCTAATAATAGAGAAGCCAAACATATTTAATAAAACCCTTATTTAGTCTCTTTGTTTTTATCAGAAAAGTACCTAAGAAGCAATTTCATCTTGAAAGTAAAATAAACCAAGAGAGAATCTTTGGCTTTAAAAAGAAAAAGTAAGAATAGATATATTATTAGATATATTATTCCAGAATAGGATAAGTAGATGATTAGGATAAAAATTTTACTATTGGTGAGTTTTTTCTTTTTCTTTGCTTTTTTTTTTTTAGATTATCCTCATTAAATGATTTCTGAATTAGGTCTTATGGGGTTTTGTTGATAGATTAAAGCATTGTTTTCACACGGTGAGTGGTACATTTGTGAAAGTCATATGAAGAAATCTTACAAACTTATATCTAGGTTCAAGGAGCATGCCCCCCCCAAAAAAATCAGCAAGGCACTTAAGTAAAGTGGATCCCTAATATGTTTGGGGCCAATAACAGTCAATGAGACCTCATTCCTGCCCACAAAGTGACAAAATTTCTGACGAAAAAGTTGGACCAAAAAGAGATCTATGTAAATCAAAACTCACTGATTTACCCTGAAAAGCAGGTGTATCCTCAACTCCTTGCCAATATCAGGGAGACACGGTAGCCCTTCTCACCAAGGGCTTTAAGGTCACCATTAGAAAGGAATCCTAGGGCTGCATGGACAATGAGTTTCAGCCTATGTCACATTTCATATGGGGATTCAACTCTTGATGAATTCAGGAAAAGTAGGTGATTCAGAAGTATGGGCAGAAATGAAAACAGAACAAAAAGCAAAAATAACACTCCAGTCAAAGGGCAAAGGATGCAAACTTCAACTGTAATGAAATTTCAGGAAAGTGGAACTATAAGAAGTTCAAGGGCCGAGAAGAAGGCAGAATAGATGAGCTTCTTTTCAAGATTTATTTACATTACCTGACTTACTGAGCAGGAATAATTCTTAAAGTTAAGTAAGTTAGCTCATTCTTGAGCCATTACTCTTCAGATCTAGGAAAAAGGGGGAGAAAAAAAATGAATCAAAATTACTACTGAAATATGTTGTGTAAATGGATAACAACCAGAGAATCAAAAGGCAGAAACAGGGGTCTACACCTCTGGTCTGAATTTAGCCATCTGCAAAACTTGGCAGTCTTGTCCCGTTGTGAAGTAGGGAGGAAATGGCTCTGGGTGTGACCCACTGCATTTGGGTTCCACCCATCCTAAACCAGCCAAGTCTG